TGCAGTTCAGACAGGCCTTGAACTCACTAAGTAGCCCAAACTGGCCTTGAATTCAGTGATCCTCTTGCCTCAGCCTCTTTTGTTTTGGGATTGTAGGCCTGTGACACCACACCCAGCTATGAAAGTGATTTTAACAATTTTATGAATACAGAGTGAAAATAGGCACGCAAAATAAAATGATAAAAGCATTAATATCTAAAAATATTTAAATTAAAAAAATTTAAATATACCCATCCACCAGACAGTTAACTTAAAAAACTTATGACAATGTTTTAAAAGATGCTTCCTTAAAGAAGTTTCCTCCTATTCACAACTTTTCTATTTACTGGTTTAGGAATTAGCTTTCTTAAAAGCCTACTGCCAGAGCTGAAATATTATTACCTTTCTCTGCTGGTGGTTCATCTTGCTCAAGTTCATTTTCATTTGCTCTCTTCCTTTCTAAATTAGTTTTGTTTCTGCTGCCCTTAGGAATTTCAGCTGTTTCATTACAAGCCGATTTACTGTTTATTAAAGAAGACATACCAGCCATGTCCTAAAGCAAAATTAATGAACCTTCATTCACATAAAGTTACAATAAATATGCAAACTATATAAATAACTTCATAGTACACCAATGAATTTTTGCTTTAAAATTGAAACATTTTCAAATTGAAACATTTTCTAAATTATTTCTTAAGTTTTACCCTAAAATAACTGATGGCTCTGGCAAATGAGTAACATATGGGGACAATTGAAAAACACTCATCCCTAAAATCATATTCAAGTCACATTGAAATTGTAACCTAAGTTACCAGGTCCCTTTTTTTTTTCTTCTTCGATACATGAGTCTCTTTTACCCTTCACTCTTCTCCCTGTTCCTTCTACTGTCCTGTGATCTTCAATAAATGTAGCTACTTAACTACATACACTGAGGTGTATGCATGGCAATTCTTGCCTTGTAGTACACAAGAACCTGCATGATATTATGGCTCACTCAACTGTAACAAGCTTAGATCATTTTCATCTCCACAACGTATTTCCTAAACCCCTATTCAGTCTCCTCTTCCACTTATTGACTACCACTACACACTGCATTATAACTAGGTTTATCCTACTTCTCTCACTGGAGGCCAGGGGTGGACTGGATTGTAAAGAGGACTAATTTGTATTGATCAGTTTATTTGCCATAATCAAACCATAATACTTGGTAAACAACAGACAATAATTGCTGCTTGCCTAAAACAAATTATTTCTTGTTTTTCATCCTTATGCCTACACCTCAATGAAAGGGATATTTCTCCCACTTCAGGTTCAGGAAAGCCAGGAAGATTGAATAACATATTTAAATACCAAAAGAAACAACTGCTAGGAAAGATAAGGCAGAGAGTGAGGTACTCATTTGGAATGTTCCACCTTTATCTCTGCAATATCAAAAGGCCCAACTGTGTTTGCTCAGCGGTAGTGTTTACCTAGCACATGCAAACCTCTGGGTGCAATCCCAGGCACCATGAAAAAAACCAAACACATCCCATATAATGTTCAGAAAATTCAGGGAATGCAGGTTAGTATTAGAGACCTCCACCTCTTCTGATCACAGAAAGACATCCAAAGGACATATAAAGCAGAGGTATTAAGCTTTTACTCAGCCTACCATGTTATTACAGCCTACTATGTTATTATCATATTACAGTATCTACATAAAAAATAAATTGAAGGAATTTATAATTAGGAAAGGAGAGGCTATTTTTGAAATAGTACTACTGGACAAGTTGATCATCTTGGTCTGAAACAAAAAAATATGAGATTATCTAAATTTGTCATTATAAAAAGCTAAAACCCCTTAAAAGCTTTACAGGTCAAGGCACATAAGTTCTTAAAGAAAATATCTCTTGCTATTAAGCATATAAACAAGGCATATAATAAAAGTAAGCTTTAAGAAAAAAACTAATTCTGCTGATTATGATTCGTTGTTAGTACATCCACTTCTTTGAACTTCAGCGCTCCCCTTCAACTAGCTGACGCTTAAACTTCAGAGGGCTACATATTCTTATCGCTTGTATCTAGATGTTGCCCCAAAGCTTCACTGGTCATAGGTGGGGCCTTTTGGGATCTAGGATGTGTGATGCTGGGATTAAGAGTGCCCACCCCAGGTGTGAGTGGCACTGTCTAGAAGGCCGGTAGCTGGAAGGGATAAAAGTGAGGCAAGCTTGCTGCCTTCTGCTTACCCTGCTTTGTCACAGAATGTTTCTCCTCTGTGATGTTACCCTCCCATGCTACCCTGCCTTGGAGGTAAGTGACTATGGACTAAAACCTCTACAAACTGTGAGCTGCAATAAACCTTTCCTCCTTTAACTTTGGGTGTTGGGTAATTCGTCTCAGCAACAAGAAAAATAACTAAGACATAGTTTGACAGATTCTATTTTCAAAGAGGTCAAATTCTTCTAAGTTCTCAAAAATTCAGATCTGTATGAGAAGAAACAGAATTTAATGCCAGGATAAGCAATTCCACATTCCTGGTCAATTAGTCTTGGTTACGTAAGTTATTTCAAATTATTATACTCTGAACCAAGACATAAGATTTTTTCAAAGTTAAACTCTCTTTCTTTCTTTTTTGGTACCGATCAAACTTGGGACCTTGCCCTTGTGAGGCAGGCAGTGGAACCGCTGAGCTAAATCCCTGGCCCTCAAAGTTAAATTCTTATACTGACTTTAAATGTGTTTTCAATATGAAGACTTAAGGTTCTGAAAATTGCTGATAGTTTTTTTATTATTAATTCTATCGATTCTTTTATTCTTTTATCCTGTACAATTGTTTTCTTTGGAAAGAAAACTACTGTTTAATAAGTGTACTTTATAATAAAGAGAATGCAAATATAGTTTTAGAATTCCTTTCAATTTTATGATTAAATAAAAATAACTAATATTAACACACTATGCATAGCATAATTTTATTTTTCCTTAAAAAAAACGCATAGCATAATTTTATTTTTCCTAAAAAAATCCATATATACAAGAAGAGAAGCAATATAGTGTACATAAGTAAAGAAGAAGTTGGAACCAGACTGCCTGGGTTTGTATCCTAGCTCCTCTAGTTTCAGCTGCATCTCCTAAACAAGTCACTTAACAACTCCATAAAAATAAAAAGTAGTAACACATGTACATCATAAAATTGTTCTAAGATTTCAAGGGATATATAGAAATTAAAAGGGTGCCTGGAAAATATGAAATGGTTTGTAAATATAACTATATAGAAAGCAAAAATCTAAAAGTGCTCAAACTCGCCGCCTAGCAAGCATGAGGTCCTGAGTTCAATCCCCAATGTGTGTGTGTGTGTGTGTGTGTGAGCTGGTTGTTATTGTTTTTTTTTAATTTAGACAGAAGCTTATGGGAAATTTATTTTCTATTTTACATAGTTTAATGTAATTCAGTTTGTGTACTACTCTTCCATTTTCATAACTAGAAAAAAAATAAAGAAATTAGGATTATTTGGATTTTTTTTGCTTGTTTGTCTTGTTTTGCTTTGTTTTTTGAGACAGGGTTTCACTATGTAGTTCAGACTGTCCTGGATCTCGGTGTAGCCCAGTCTGGTCTCAACCTCCCAACAATCCTCCTGCCTCATCTCCCCTGGGATTATAGGTGTGTGTGCCACCACACCCAGCTATTTGGA